ATAACCCCTTTGAAAATAACAACGCAAACAACGGGTTTCGTATAGTGTGCGATTTTTTACGCTCATCTGCCATTCCTTCCTGGCGCTATCTGAGGGAACACAAACAAATTCCGGAGACCGAACATTTCAGGTATATCCAACTCCATCATTGGATCTCCACCCTGAGTAAGAGGAGGGATCCAAACAATTTATTTACATGTTTTGAACACATATGTCTTCACTCCCCAGAAGGCCCAAGCCTTATAACAATTCTCTATGCCCAACTGAACAGGTTGGTTAGTCATACTACCCACACCTATGTCAGAAAATGGGAAGGAGAACTACGACAACAATGGTCCTCGAAGGAATGGCAACAGATGTGGCAGAATATTGCGAAATGCTCCATCAATGTTACAAATGCAGAGGTGGCCTATAAGGTAGTAATGAGGTGGTATTTAGTCCCAGCCAGGGTGGCCCGCTTGTTCCCCACATCCTCGGATACTTGTTTCTGGGGATGTCAGGAAACGGGAGATATGCAACATATTTGGTGGAAATGTCCATTTGTCACTAGATTCTGGGTAAAGATTTTCAAAATATTGGGTTCTCTTTTTAGCACGTATATACCGAGGGATTTTCAATATGCTCTCTTCCACTTGTCTATACCCGGCCTAACTAAGCCTCAAAGGGCCTTAGCAAACTTTATTTTCTTAGCAGCCAAGTTGACGCTGGCAGGCAACTGGAAGAAGCAACAACTTCCTTACAGGGAATTTACTAATAGACTAGACAATATTATGCTTAACGAGCGCCTATCTAGCATCCTGGAGGATAAACATTCTAAATTTCTAAGTGTTTGGGAACCATGGCTCTCATCTCATCACCCTGATATGGATCCTATGAGTTATAGAGGCATCTGAGCTGGAGAGGTGGGCAAATAGACGCGGGACAGGAGCTGGAAACAAAGAGATTTTACTACTCATGGAAATGAACGGTGGAAACAAACTATGGACCCCCCACTCCCCCCAACCCCCTTTCTCCCTCTCGAGTGATGTAGGTACACCAGTCGTTACTATCACTCTTAGGACTTTTCTATCCCCACTTTTCATGTTATATGCTCTTTGGGGACCCTACCCCACTCTTGGTTAATGATGTTTCCCACATTGAACTGGTGGGGAGGGCAGTCTAGTCTTAATACACAGATGTTACACCTGCTGTAGTCATAAAGCATGATTGGGACTGTGCAACCTCCCTAACCTAAGAATGTCTAATCGTATAATTATTTGATAAATAGTCACTTGCAAGTGATCTCTGAATTGCTACATCCATTTTCTGTAATGAAGCATTGTACGCCACTTTTCTTACTATGTATGTTCATTTTTAAAAAAAATTTCAATAAAAATATTTAGACAGGAAAATAACAACGCAAGACACCAACTGGAGTTTAAACGGCCATAGCAACCTTTTATTAACAAAATATAAATAAAAGGTATATAAAACGTATCCAACAACCACAGTCAGGAATGGAGTCCTTTTAGGCACTTTAACCAAGGAACTGTATACCCATAAATAGGCCTCCAGGCTCAGGAACACCAAGTTGGAGACAATTGCACCATTAATTGCAGATACGACCCTTATCATTATCATACTGAACATTCAATCTAGTAAAACAGAAGGGGAGTAGGGCCATACCTAAGACTGGCCATACCCACTTTACATTTTACCCAAATGTCCGCCTTCAAGGACCTTGAAAACCGTCCCACTGCTACGACAATACCCCCAAATACCTCCAAAATAACCAGCAATCCTGCTAGAGAGCCAACCAAAAGAATGAGTATGGTGGGTGGGACGTTTGCTGGACCACTGCTTATTCCTAGATCCCACCCTCTGCTCCACCCTTGAAGCTCTTCCTGTTTGTCTCCTTCCCTCAAATCTTGTAAGTACAACCCCCAACTACCTTTTCATCTTTTTTGTCTCTTGTCCCCTGAAACCCTGCCATGTAGTCCCTACACCCATTGTTTTGTCCATTTTAGCTCTGGGCCTAACTTTCTTGCAGGACCAATTAGTAATACGCACATTTGTGGTGAGACTGGGGGAGGGGGACATAAGGTGAGAAACAATGAGGTAATTAACAAAAGTTTTGATGGTCTTGCATGGAAGGCAGGGACTCACCTACAGACCATGGGTTCCCAATACAAAATCTTTATATGGCCCCCTGGCAACCTCTCTCTGTGGCACTTGGCAGTGTCAGCTGTGATAAAACTGTCCTTGATCTTAACAAAAATATCTGGAGAGTTATGTCAGTTCTTCTTGACTAGAAACATCACAGGTTAGTGTGAACAGGAACTTCTCCAATCCTTAGTAATACAGTACTGGATTTGTTATCTTCACATGCACACAGATTTTTTATGTTTAATATATCTCAACAGTCTCCCTAATGTATCCCCTTTTACCCCTGGCCATTACAGCCATGTGGGCTTCCATGACTATAGCTGCATCAGGGGCAACCACACAGTCCCAGTTGCTAAGAGCTCTTAGCAACCTGTGACACTCTGTCCAGTTTCCAGCCCAGCTCACTGACATCATTAGTTGCCAGGGAGCTAAGCAGGATCCTCTGGCTGGCATCCCACTGAGCTCCGAGCTTCTGGCAACCAGTGACATCAGTGAGCTGGGTGGGATCAGACAGAGAGCCACTGACAGCACAGCTCTAACACAGCTGCTCATCCCACCACAGCGGCTCATCCCACCGCATCCGCCTCCTTCTGGACAACCACTATCAGCAAAGCTCCCCCAAGAAGCACTATCACTGACACTATGTGACAGATCCTCTTTATAGAGACATCGGGGGTCTTTCAGACCCCTAATGTCACCTAGGGACCCCAAAGAAGCTGATGAAGCAGCAATCTACTTTACCAGCTTTTTTACCTGGCTCTAGAAGCCAGAGAATGTAAACAGTGACACCGAAAGTGATGTAATACACATCACTTCCGTGTCCAGTGATCGGAGGAGAGATCAGCAACTAGATACTTGCTGAACTCCCTTCAAACAATGTGGGGAGACCCGCCTTACCCACATGGGGGACAGCGGAACTCGGAGTAGCCGGCAGGTGTGGGGCCACACACCGCCGCTTGGTACAAACGGTTGGGCAGTTGTATAAGTGCTGAATCCCTTGTACCTGAAGAGCCATCACAGGCTGTTTACAATGGTACCAAGAACACGGCTGCAGCTGTGTTCTTGGTATAACCGCTTCAGGGGAAGGACGTCTATATATGTCCACCCGCCAGAAGTGGTTAAACATCACAGCACCAGGACTCAGTCTAGTTCAGTCTAGTCCTGTCTACTCAAGCCTGTATTCTGCTCTTTTATATCTTAAGTCTTGCTTTGTACTAGTCTTGTCTCTTGTATCAGTTCCTGCCTTGTATCATAGTCCTTTCTTGTTCCTGTATTATAGTCTTGTCTTGCATCTTGCTACCTGTTCCTGTCTCCTATCTTGTGTTCTGTTTTTCTTGTACCTTAACACCCATTAGTACTACTCCTTTGCTCCTGGTAGCCGTCTGCAACATTTATAGCCAGAGTGTATAGTTTAAGACCTGGGGGCATCTGAATACCGGTAGCTGTGTATTGCCTTATGGGAAAGGCGACTGCTAGAGGTGAAGCAACTTGTCACTATACACTCTGACCAAGGTGTCTGCATCCGGTCCTGACACTGACATGTGTTAAGGTAGGCATACTTATGGTTGAGAACCACGGCTTTATATTTAATAATAGCATTAGAAAGTAGTAAGAAAAAATTCAACTTACAGTCTAAGAAAACTTTGTTAGTTAGTTAACCTGACTATAGAAACCTTTATATAGTATGGAGGCTGATAAAGGCTGCATGGTGCTCTCAGATGATTGATTATTTGCCCATCTAGAGACTATTATCTGACTCAAGTAGAACAAAAGAAGATTCAGTTCAAATTTTATGTTTATTGGTTGCTTTGATTTATTCTACAGGCATAGCAAGATCTATTCATATGGCTTAATAATTGAATTTTAACATATGGAATAATGAGCAAACACAAACTGTACTGTATATAGGAGCATTATTTGATGCACTTTTCATTCTTTTATGTATTTATTGCTATTAATACAACCTACTGGTTATGTTAATGTACTATTAGCTGTAGATATAACGCTTTTTAGCAGGGGTCGCCTAAGACATTAATTTTATTTCAGAGATTCCTCCAGGGTAAAGAAATTGGCAATGGTTGATGTAGACTAAAAAAACATTTAGGGGAAAGCTATTTTTTTAGATTTTCGTATCTCTTGCAAGATGAGCCTCTTTGACATAGGTCTATGCAGCACAGAGATATGGTCAAGCAACAATATCACCCATATCACCTCAAGTATAGTTATGAATTATGAATAACACCATTACAAGTGCCACAGTTGGCTGATTAAAGACTGAGAAAAACTGTACCAATACAGCTTGATTGTATTTAAGTATAAACATTTATTCTGAAAATTCAGTGATTCATTTGGTTAATAACAGAAGGTTTTAGGTAGGGATGCACCGATACCAGTTTTTCGGTATCGAGTACGAGTACTGAAACCGAGTACCGATACTTGTGCATCCGCCGGTATGGACCCGGCTTACTGGGCAATCGGCAAGCTGGGCAGCGGTAATGACATGCTGTTCGGCTTCCTGATTGCCCAGGAAGCCGGCTCCATGTCGTTTGGCTGTCTCTATTGTAATTGGCCAGGAAACCGGCTTCTCAACCAATCAGCATCGAGCTGGCTTCCCGGCCAATCAGGAAGCCAGGCGGCAAGTAATGATTGGTCATGAAGCCGGCTCCATGCTGATGGGCTGGAAAGCAGGCTTCCCAGCCAATCCTGGAAAGCTGGCTCCATGTTCCCCTACGGCACTGCTGGCCAGAGGAAATCTTCCTCTGACCGGACATTCCAGTATCGGAGCATTTGGACGAGTACGAGTACTACTCAGTATCGACACTGATACCGATACTAGTATCGGTATTGGTGCATTCCTAGTTTTGGGTTGCCTGGGGCTTGCCTAAATGGAGCACATTTGTAATTGCTCTCTTTACTTCTGCATTTTTAAAACTATATATGAGAGGATTCAAAAGAGGGGATGCCACGGTATAAAATATTGAGAAGATCTTGTCAGTGCTATCTGAATTCAAACCTAAGCTTGGTCGAAAGTAGATTCCAAACACTGTGCTATAGAAAGAGATGACTACAGTGAGGTGGGAGGCACAAGTAGAAAATGCTTTGGATCTTCCCTCTGTTGAGCTGATTCCTAAAATTGTACAAATGATGGAGATATAAGACATCAATATCACAAGGAAAGAAACAACCCCCATTACAAAAGATAATGAAAAGACAACCAACTTCCTAGCATAAGAGTAGACACATGTAAGTTTCAATAGAGGGGGAATATCACAGTAAAAATGATTAATTTTATTTGAACCACATAAAGGGAAATTGAAAATGGTAATTGTATGAGCTATGGAAGCAATACAGCTACTTAAATAGACTCCGTATACCAGTCCCCAACATGTAATTTTATTCATCATGCTATGGTAGACCAGTGGTTGACATATGGCAACATAACGATCGTACGCCATGGCAGTCACCAAAAGACTTTCTGATGTGGCAAACATGGCAAACAGAAACATTTGACTGGCACATGCTTTAAAGGAGATGGACTTTTTCTCTGAGAGAAAATCTGACAGCATCTTGGGGGTGATGGTGGAGGAATAACACAAGTCAATAGCGGACAGATGACTGAGAAAAAAATACATGGGAGAATGAAGATAATGAAAGGCGCCTATTAGTATTATCATACCCAGGTTGCTCAACAAGGAGCATGTATAAATGATCAAAAATAAAACAAACAGAAATGATTGGATAGAGCGGTCAGCAGTCAGTCCTAGTAAGATAAAATCAACAATTGCAGTCTGATTCAGAGTATCCATGGAGTGTTCAAAACCTGAAAGACAATAATTACTAAATGAGTCTTTGGTAGTATTAGCGGTAGCAATAATAACATTAACAAATAATAAACATTATTGCATATTGAATAGAGTAGAGCGTGCTAGATTTGTATCCATATACTGAACTCCGTAAGCCTTTGAGAACAAATTTAGTGTTCCCTCTCGTATAGGGTATAGTTATGGTTAAATGCTCATTTAGTGTTGGGGGGGGGGCGTATGGCATGAGGCCTAAGGAAACATATTCCTTACTTTTGCAGGTTTTAGGATAGATCACAGTCCCCCAAACCCACTCCTTTTTGTTGGTTGTGCACCCGCTCCCTTGGCTGATGTCATCACAAACAAAGCAGAATCTGCAGTCCTAAATTCCATGTGCGGACATCAAGGGCCCAAACATATTGGGAGGATGGAGCAGAACAGTAGGGAGCGCAAACTCTCAGGGGATCGAGGAATAAGGTCAGTATTCTCCCTACACCTGCCAGAGTCTTTAAACTCTATATGGGGGTGAGTTCAGCTTTAAAGTGAAACTAAAATATGCATTCAGGTACATTACCCTATTAATAAAAATGCATCTTATTTGTGTATCACTCGGCTGTAGATCCTCCAATCATCTCTGAATTGGTGCTGACACTGTCCTTCCTTCTGGAGGGGGCTACCTTTGTTCCCCATGGTCCCTGTGTGTGTTGTAAAGTAGTCACTGCTCATAGTGCGCTCCAATGATGGACTACAATCGCACATTTAGTTTACTAATTTGTATTGAGATTGTACTCCATCATAGGAGTGAGCAAGGTCCTTGTTTGTCATTTCCTGTTATAGGGTTTCTACCGCCATGCCCCAATTGTGATCCTCCATTGTCACCCTGTCGCTTCCAATGGATACTACAAATACTGGATCATCACATATTCTGATGGTCAGGTCCACTGATGTCACCATCAGCAAACCAGTCCTGAGAAATGCCATATAGCCATCATTGGAGTGTATGAACATAGATAGATTGTGGCTGAAAAGAGGCTGCCGGAGGTCAGCAACACTGAGATAAAACACAGGATGAAAAAATGTCACTAAGTTGGGGTAACATCTACAAAGAAAATGCAGGTTATTACTTTTCTATAGAATTCTCTGAAACAAATACATCTAGTGACATCCAAATAAAAAATCAAAAAAAAAAAAAAAAAAAAAAGCTAAATGTTTCTATTGCTTTTGAGTAAACATGTAAGAAACACAAATGTTTAAAGTATCAAAGCCATGCAATTTTACAATTACAATAAAAAACTGAATCTTCTAATAAAGGCAAAATACTTACACAGATAAAAGAAAAAGAAAAGCCTAATAGTTTAAATTTCAGCACCCCAACTATAAAGAGGTAGATATCAGCATATCTATGTGCCTCACTCTTTGCTTCTTATTCCCAGTGTATGCTCCTTTTATAGCCAAGACCATAAACTCTTGGGACTTGGTTCGCATCTGTAGGATTAATATAGCTATTAAATGGAAAGTATTGAAAAAACAGACAAGCACCAAGGAATACATTCAACTGAAATTCCACTTTTATTGTTTGAAAAATAAAACATATAATCTTCCTCAGGCAGTTAGACACAGGACGCTGTAAAGCCACTCATCCACCAGCTCCAGAAGCCTTTTTCCAGAAACACAAAATTAAACTCTTCTCTTACTGTGGCAGCACCGCATCAGTCAGGGACAGGCCCGTCTTTAATACTCATCGGACCCTGGGCAAACATTTTCTTGGGCCCCCCCCCCCCCCGGCGTTTTTCTCGCCCCCCCCAAACTCCAACAAAAA